ATGTTGCTTTAAGTAATGAAATATTTTCTTTCTCTTCTGAGGGGAGTTAAGGCCGTTAACATTCCAGGTCAGGAACTTTACCATCTCCCTTAACCAGAAGCCTGGAGAAGACTACGTGAAGGTCTGCCATTGAAGAATGTGTTGCAGAACTCTTGGGTCTTGCTCCTCCCACCGGCAACGAAACACTTTCTTGAGAAGATTCTTTGACTTCTTTCTTTTGTTGTTCCTTTTCCTTGCGTCTATGTGCTGCACGAGTCATTGTTTGCTCTTTGATCTCTGTTTGTCACGACCATTCAACCTGTGACTTTCCAGCAACCATCAGACCTAATCCTTCAGGCTGCTGTTCCACCTCTTTACCGTCCAAAGCTTTCTGAATCATAGATAAAGATGAGCCTGCTCCCAGGACCGAGTTATAAAACTCTTTTGCTTTAGTAACAGTGTTGAGTCTGTAACGTGTCCCCGCATGGCTCAAAACAATACCCATCAGGATCTCCCATCTGAAAGGCATCAATCTTGTTTTAAGTTCATTAGCTAAAAAGGCAAAGTCTTTTCTATTTCTTAAAATTTTAGATGGGATTTCCTTTAGAATGATGACATCTTGGGCAGCAATCTGGAACCTCTTATTATAAAAAGCTTGTATAATTTCATTACGCAGAGATCTCTTTGCAAAGTAGATCACCACATCTCTTGGCAGATTCTTTTGTTTCGCAACCCAGGAGTTAACTCTGTAAATTTTTTCCACTTCTCTACGTAATTCATCTTTATCCTTATTCAGAACAACAGCAAGGTCATTAACCACCATCTCTATCAAATCTTGATTCATGTCTTCTTTCAGACCCCTGATTCTCAGAGCATATTCCATTTCCCTATACTGAGACATAAGAATATCATCTTGTGAAGTTTCCATCTTTTTTTCCATATCTTCAAATTTATCTTCCAAGAGGTCTACTTTATCTTCAACCTCTTCCACTCTGGAGTCCAGCTTCTTGACCACAGAAGCCAATCCTGATAAGGCTGTTACTATATCTTGCCTCAAAATAGTATTATTCTCCTCTAAAAGCTCCTTCATTTCCTCTTTACTTTCAGATTTATTCTGTTTAAGAAGGTCCTTCATTTCCTCTTTACTTTCAGATTTATTCTGTTCAAGAAGTTGCTTCATTTCCTCTCTGATTTGAGATACAGCATTTCCCATTATATCTTTCATATCTTGTACAGATAATACTGGCAAAGGAGGAGAAGGTGGAGGTGTAACTTTAGATTGCTGTACTGATGGTGTAGCTTTAGATTGTTGTACTGATAGGATTGCAGGAGAAGAAGCCACCTTAGAAACTGTAGAAGCTGGTTGCCTCTTTGAAGCCATTTTTCAAAATCTTATTCTCTCTTTCTTCCTTCTTGAAAAGAAAGAAAAAGTACTAGAATCCTTAAAATTTAAAAGAAAAAAGCCAAGGAGAGTGCGAGAAAAAAAAACTTCAAAACCTCCAAAACGCTTTCAAGAGAAAAAAAAAAACTTAAAAGAAAATAGAACTATGTAGTCGATATGTTCCGTTTAAATCAGTTCTTTCTTTCCGGAAAAGAAAAAAACAAAAAACGAAAGCACTTTCAAATCGCCATCTTACTTTCACTCTCCACACCAGTAAAAAGCAAAAAAGAAAAAAATCAACATAAACTAAAAGAGAAATAAAACACTACAAATAAAATCCTTTAAACAGCTCTGTCCGCTTTAAAAGTCACTCACCAGAACACTTTAGGCGCGGAGATGGTAGCGGCGTTTCACTTTGTTTCCGAAGAAACAAAAACAGCTGGGAGGCGGAGAAAGCACGAACTCCGAGGAAGCACTCTTTCTACCCCCCCAAAAAAAACCCAGGGGGGGGGGTTAAGAGGTTCTACCTCTATTCGTGTGATCTCTACCCCTTCCCTTCACCCGGGAAGGGGGTTTCGAGCCACGGGCCAGCTGATGTCCGCTGTGCTCCGCAGATCTGACGCCGTCCCAGGAGGACGGCTACAATGTAGCCGCCATCATCGTCGCTAGCCACCGGAAGCTCCAATATTTTCTTCTTATAAATCACTCAGAGCATGCAATTTCTGCTTGTTTCATAAACCCCAAACCCATGATACTTGCCATTTTTCCCTTGTCTTGTCTGGGCATAATTAAAGAGAGTAGTAAGAATGGCTGAAAAGATCATTGGCAGTTTCCTCCCTTCCATCCAGGACATAGCACATAAGCGTTGCTTGAGCAGGGTCTGCAGGATTGTCTGGGACACTACACATCCTCTTCACAACCTGTTTTCCTTGTTACCTTCTGGGAGGAGGCTCCGTGGTATCTAAAACAGAACATCCAGATTCAGTCACAACTTTGTTCCATACAGTATTAACCTTGTGAACTCTAAAGCTTCCTCCTTCCATTATGTATTCAAGATGGACAGTGAATAATATTTATACGTTACTTCTATATAAGGGTGTAGGTCTATACATATGTTTTATATAGTATGTTTTAAATGTGTTATATAGGTGTACGCTTTGAGAGGAAGCAACTAAATTTCATTTTTAATGTGTGCCATTGTGCCCACAGGGAAAAAATGACAATAAAAGGTTATCTGTCTGTCTATCTGTCTGTCTGTCTGTCTGTTTACACCTTAGCATTGCCTCCTAGGACCTAAAGCAATGGTGCAGCCCTATTGCCGTATAAGGTTTCTGCCACATTTTGCATGTTGTAGGTATATCTGAATAAATATGTTTGTTTGTGTTTGAATAAATATGCTTGTTTGTGTATGTGTGTGCGTATGTAGATATGCATGCTACAAAATAAGCACAATCTTCAGTAGTTTGCTACGGTAAGTACATATAAGCAGGTGAACAAAACTTTAATCCCGGGGTCTCCAATTCTTCAGCATATTGGCCCTTTCATGAAGTTTTAGACCTCCAAACATTTATTATATGAAAATAATTTAATAAATACTACTTGAACTAATACTACTATGAATAATAAGCACTGAACCCTTGGATAGTCCCATTGACCCCTGGGGTTTAATGCTGACCACTTTGGAGAGTCCTGCTCTACCCATTTGGGAAGAATTTTCTCAGAACTTTTGCCTCTCTCATTTTCCTTTTCACATATTTTTTTACTTCCTCCCCCCCTTCCCCCCCACATTTTTCACATTCTCTGTCAAGCAAGAGGCTGCAGGGAAAGAACAGATGATTCCTACTGGTGTTCTGAATTGATTTTTGCAAAGACCTTTTGAAGTTAGCCAGAGGTCAGAAGCGCAGGAGGAGTGCAGTAGCACCTTTTCCCAACTAACAAGTTCCAACTTACATCTTTGAATAAAATTTGTGAGCCAGAAACGGTGGTTTTAGATTGCTGTCTTCCTACAAAACGTTGTATGTGATGGTAAGGCTGCAGACAGCTATCACTCTACTATATCCGATCCGATCCGATCAAATCAGTCTTTATTAAGGTCAAAGACCAGCATCATTGCTCTATAAAAAACACTGGTTCCTTTCAAATTGTTCCTAATTGTCCTATATGATTTCTTATTGGTGCAAACAGAATTGTTACTTGTAACTAAGAGAACACTCCTCATACTAAGATTTAGTATGGTCATTGATTGCATTGCTTTCCGTTGATTATAATTGCTGTTGTGGCCTGCTGTGCTTGATATTGGAGTATGGCAAGGAAGGAAACTGCAGAATGAGGCACAGGATATGCAAGGCACAGGATGAGGCACAGGATACACAAGAGCACTTCAAGAGATGGGGTCTCCAGTACATATTGGAGACTCCTGCACTATCTAGACCAGGGCTTTTCAACCTTTTCACCCATTGTACCACTTTTAGGATATGGCAACATCTGAGTACCACCAGTCGCCTAGCAAGGTGTCAAAAACTTGATGACCCCCCCCAAAAGGAAAAAAAGTGATAAAGTACAGGTAGTCCTTGACTTACAACAGTTCGCTTAGTGACTGTTGGAAGTTACAATGGCACTGAAAAAAGTGCCCCCCAAGCCATATCCGAGCAAGACACCTGCCTGACCACCCGGCAGCGCTCCTCCTCCTGTCTGAGGTTTCCATTGTTGTGAGCATTTCTGTTGAGGATTGGCAGCAGGGGTGGTGGGGGTGTGTTTGGTTTTTATTCCCCCCGTCTGCTGGGTGGTTGCAGCAGGTTTTGATCACTTCACATGACCCTGGGACACTGTGACCATCATAAATATGAATCAGTTGCCAAGCATCTGAATGTAAATCACAAGACCCTGGAGATGCTGCAACATTCCAGCTGATCAGCGCTTCTTCTGGGCTCAGTAGAAGTGCCAAGATCAGCGCCAAGCTCCAGCTGGAGCCTGGCACTGATCCTGGCATTTCCACTGAGCCTGACAGCCCTGCAGCTCCAGCCATCTCTCGCTCAGGCTTATACGGTGCTGCCACTGGTTCAGCTCATTCCCCTCCCCCGCTACCAATTTTCTAGGATGGTCGCGTACCACCTGCCAGGTGCCAATGTACCACAGGTGGTACCCATACCACTGGTTGAAAAGCCCTGATCTAGACATATTTTCAGCTGTGATTTCATTTCTACTTACTACATAGTACCTTACCCAATCAGACATAATTATTAAGAAGTGGGATATATGCCATTCACTGCTCAGACTTAATGCCTGGATAACTGACATTTGCCAATTTCAAGAATGACACACATAACCCTAAAGCAACTCTCTTCTTCTTTTTATCCTTCTTTACCCTTTTTTACTCTTTTTTGGCCAAAGTTGAAAAAGTAAAGTGATATTGCCTAGTTTTCTGCAACCTGATGCCTTCCCAATGGGAGGGGATGACAAGTCCAAGAATACCCAGCCAACACTGCTCTTCACATTTTTCAGAGTGGCTGTCCCCAAACATCTGAAGGACATTGGGCTAAGGAAAGTCATCATAGGCTTGCCGAAAGCAGCATTGGTCTGTGACAACCTGTTTGTTCTGCATAGCAATTACTTACAATGAGTGACTTTTGGTCTTTACCAGGTAGTATACTTCACTGCCACCTTCCCATACCTCATGCTGATTGTTCTGCTGATCAGGGGAGTTTCCTTGCCTGGGGCATCTAAAGGGATCCTCTTCTACCTTTATCCAGACCTCACTCGACTCAGTGATCCTCAGGTAAGTTAAGAAAAAGGATTGTCTCTTTCTGCTAATGGGTTCTCTTTTGTAAAACTCTTTCTCTCTTTTACCCAACCCAATATAACCCAACTCAATCAAACCCAACCCAACCCAACCCAACCCAACCCTTTTCACTAATTCCAACTTTCATTGCATTTATAGCCAACTGTTCTTTGAAGCAGAAGGCATCTCATTCTCTTTCTCCTACACTCCATTGGCAAAGGACAACTTTAATCATAGTTCAGAATCTTAACCATATTGGCTTTTGGTATAAATTAAACTTTTTAAAACATTTTATTTCAACTTCTGCTTTTCAGTGTTCTCCTTCCATCCAGAATTGTTTCCAAACAAGATGTGCAGCACATACATTTAATTAAATAAATAAATAATAAAATAATAAATAAATCTCCTGTAGAGAGCAGTCAGAGAAGAGCTTTACACTGAGCAATGGAGAGCCAGTCTGGTCTAGTGGTTATGGCATCAGGCTAAAAACCAGGTGACTGTGAGTTCAAGTCCTGCATTAGCCATGAAAGCCAGCTGAGTGATTTTGGGCCAGTCACTCTCTCTCAGCCCAACCCACCTCACAGAGTTCTGGTTGTGAGAAAAATAGGAGAAGGAAGGTCTGTTGGATATCCCCTGCCTTGAATTATTTTGGTCTTTTATCAGGTAGTAAGTATATTGAGTTATTTGTAAAAATAATAAAAGGTGGGGATTTAGATAGACAGACAGATAGACAGACAGATGTAAAGACAGTGCTTAGGGGACTTAGGAAGAGATCCTTAGAAGTGTGCAAACATTCCTCTTTTTCACTTGGGAGCTATCTCTGTGACTGATTCCTACTTCCTGGTTATATCTTTATGCTCATAATTATAAAATGGGAGAAAAGTGCTGAGTTCTGCAGCATCTGTAACCTTGCAGCAGCCTGGAACGCTACTCCGTGGAAAGTCAGTTAGAGTTAGTATCAAACCTTGCTGTTGCAAAGACATCTCTTTCCCTCATCCGTCAATCTCCAGTCTGTTCCTGGACTTTCTGTCTTTAACCTTTTGTTTTGCAGCATTTTGGAATCACAATAATTCTGCTGACTTCCCTGCTTTGCTTTCTGCTTACAGTTTCTTTGCTGAGTCTGTACATTATAACCCCAAAGGGATCTTTCCTCTTTTTTTGCCTTCACTTTGCTATTTTGCTATGGATGGACACCATGTTAACATCCTCGTGCTTAGCTTCAAAATTCACTTTCCAAATAAAACCTTATTCTTAGACAGTGATGGTCTAAGAAAGATGAGGAGGACTCCAGAACATGTTTAATGTGGCTTTCCTTTGGGTCAACTCTCCTTCTTTGGGCAGAGTGAAGCCGTTGCCTAGTCTTGCTTTGAGGGTACTAAAAGGAACACAAATTAATCTATTTATGTTTCCTAATAATTTTTCCCATAGGATTTTCCCCATAGGTGCTAAAATAACTTGCCCAGCTTTGGACAGTAAGCACTTCAGTAGAGTGAGGGGAGCATTTTTTATCCTATTTCAGGCAGAAAAACATCATTGGGGGGGGGGGATATATTAGTTAAATAAATACAACTGTACGATCCATAATCCCTATTTTCTGTTTTGCCGGTTGGATCCTTTCAGCCAATCTCCATCTCAGTTTGTAGCATTCAGGAGCATTGAGTTCAACAGTTACCCTTGTGATTTTTCTCCATCTCTCCTCATATAAAGAAAATATTTGCATGCAATGACCAAAAAGACAGTTTCACAATGCTTAGAGGCACAGCACACATGATCAAGCGAGTGTTTCAAAGGAACAGTGATCAACTTGTCCTCCTAAAAGTTCTTTGCCCAACTGTGTTTTTAATCTTCTCAGGACAAGTTGCCCCATGTCAAAATCCCGGTTCCTGCCGAGCTACTGTACCAGCCTTTTGTGCTGAGACGGTGTCTCAAAGGAGATTAAAGGGATGTGTGCCTGAAAAAAAAAAAAGAAATAGGTCAGCAAAACCCTTCATAACCTTTTAAACTCCTCTCAAGCTAGCCTAAAATTCTAGCAAACACTTGGCAAAACCATATAGTTATCCCACTGTGTAGCTTTACCTCATTCCTCATCTCAAGGCTTGATGCCAGTCGAAAAAGTACATTTTAGTTTACCTCTGGACTAGCACGCTTAGCTTTGCAAAAGCAGGCTGCCAATTACCAGGCTGGTGCTGATGGGAGATTCACCACCATGACCTTAACATTTTGGTGATTTTCTTTTCCCCCCCATTAAGATTTGCCTTTCAAATGAAGAAGAAAATGATTGCTGTTGCAGGGGGTCAAAGAGGAGAAGAGACAAAGGGGAGGTGAATCACGCCTCATTATCACACGCATACCCAGATTTTTGCAATGGAAAAAATAAAATTGGCGTTTCTCAACGTCTCCAATATATTTATTATAAGGAGTGCATCCTATCCCTTTCCATGTTCTAAGTTGCTTTTTCAAAAGGCAACTGGACTGTTTTTTTCCTTGAGGAAGAAGGAAGATGGGGGGGATGGAAGGATAGGTTTTGATAGGATGGGCTGGTGGTGGAATGATTGTATTTCTTTGCAGTCATCTGCAGTCCATGGCATCTGAGTCCCATGGACTGCGGATGGCATTCAGTTAGCACTCAGAGAGAGTGCTAATGACCAGATGACTGCAAAGAAATACAACCCTCCCATTCTGACAGAACCTATCCTTCCATCCCCCCCCCATCATCCAGTCACAACTGATGAAGCTTCTTGGATGAGAAATTAAATGTCGTCATCTTCTTCCTCCTCAAGGAAAAAATAGTCCAGTTGCCTTTTGAAAAAGCACTTTGAGACAACTATGACCTGAATGACTGAGAATCTCCATATACATTTTTCCATGTCCCACTTCTCCACAAAGAATCCTGTGAATTATAGTTTGCTAAAAGTGTATAGCTGGATCGATCAAGCTCTTTTTGCTTAAACCATTAAAATACCTACTGAAGGTCAGCACAAGTTAGTCACCCCTTCCATACAGAAGGACAGTTCTACACATGCTTTTGTAAAGAACCCCTTCATCTGGTCTCCTCTGCTCCCTTCTACTTTTTGAAACATCATAGAATAGAATAGAATAGAATAGAATAGAATAGAGTAGAGTAGAGTAGAGTAGAGTAGAGTAGAGTAGAGTAGAGTAGAGCAGAGCAGAGCAGAGCAGAGCAGGACAGGACAGGACAGAACAGGACAGGATAGGATAGGATAGAGCTGGAAGGGACCTTGGAGGTCTTCTAGTCCAGCCCCCTGCTCAAGCAGGAGAACCTATACCATCTCAGACAAATGACTGTCTAGCCGCTTTTTAAAAATGTCCAGCGATGGAGCACCCATGATTTCTGGAGACAAGCTATTCCACTGGTTAATTGTCCTCACTGTCAGGAAGTTTCTCCTTAATTCCAGGTTGCTTCTCTCTTTGATCAGTTTCCAACCATTGTTTCTTGTCTTGCCTTCTGGTGCTTTGGAGAATCGAGATGCATTTCATTTCTATAGTGGTATTTGAACATCCTCCCAAACTTTTCTGAGTTTGCCCATTTTGATGATCTGGATCTTTTTTGAATGTTTGAATACTTTCCAAATATTCTAAATTTTCCAAATATTGTTTGACCCTCAAGGGTATTAGATTTCTGACGTGGAATTTTCAATGTTTTGAGTATTGAGTGGTTCATACTGAAGCTGTTTAATATTTGACAGTACTGAAGGCTGGCTGATAAATAAAGATAGGATCAGAGTAGCTTCCAGTTGCAGGTGGGAGTCATGCATTGCAGAGAAAGATCAGTTGTAGTAGGTATTGTATCTCAGTGAAGAATCTCTGGAAGTATGCAAGATTCAATAGTTCCTTAGAAAGTATAGTTGAGCTTGAACATGTGACTTTAGACCTTATAACTTGCTGATTACAAGGACAATGAGATTTAGATAAAGAATGAGAGATTCTCTCTTTATCTCCTGAACTTTGCTTATGATATTGGTAATCTTATGGTCTTCTTCTTAACCTCTGTTTCTTAGCCATGCATACATAGGAATCTACTCTCAATTATCTTCTGCTAGGATTGCTTTGATTACAATGCAGCTATGGTGCTGTTTTATTTTAAAAATATTAAATATAGGATTTATTGATAATTTTTTATAATTAAAGTCACGTAGAATTCTTGTTTGGAAAAACAACATAAATTTGATATAAATAAAATCAAATTATTGGATGCATTTAGTATGCAAAATTATTACTATATTGACAATACAGTATATTGGAAAGGATTTGATAATTCTTTTTAAAAAATATGTAATTATTAGACATAATAGATGTGTAGCAAAGAATTTTCATTAATCTGACATTGGACATGCCCTCCCCCTGATGATGTTACCTAGTTTGAGTAATGAAGCATCTGCAAGAAAATAACCAAGGTCAGAGAGCACCAAGACCCCTTCATTTCAACTATTCTCTTTTATTGATGATCTTTTCATCCACCTTCTTTCTTCAGTGGCCTTCCCCAGACCCACACAGAATTATTTCAGGAATCTTTACCCAAGCTCCTTGAAACACGCAAATCTGCAGCACTGAATATTAACTAAAATCCATCTTCTTCTTCTTCTTCTTCTTCTTCTTCTTCTTCTTCTTCTTCTTCTTCTTCTTCTTCTTCTTCTTCTTCTTCTTCTTCTTCTTCTTCTTCTTCTTCTTCTTCTTCTTCTTCTTCTTCTTCTTCTTCTTCTTCTTCTTCCTCCCCTTCCCCTCCCCCCTCCTCTTTTTCCCCATTACCTATCTCTTTCCTGTGAGAAAGATTTGTTTTACCCACTCTTCCAGTCAGTGTTATTAAAAATGAAGAATCCTTCTTGTCCAGGAGCATCCATGACAGAATGGCAGGCAACCTTGAGTCTCTACATACGTTTATAGTACCTTTAAAAGCTGATGGACCCTTATGGATTCTATTCTTTTGTTGTTGTTTTCCTTGCTTATAGGTATGGATGGATGCAGGCACTCAGATCTTCTTCTCATATGCCATTTGCCTGGGGTGCCTAACAGCTTTGGGCAGCTACAATAAGTATCATAACAACTGTTACAGGTAACTGACGTGCCTCCAGCATTCATAGCCCTTGTCTTCTTTGCTTGCTCCTTGTTTCTTAAATTGTCTGCAACTCATCTCCATAGCAGAAGCAGGGTTGAAGGACTCCTACTTGCTTTCAATAACCTTTAGGGTATATCAAAAACATACCTCATATCCAATATTGCTCACTTGAAATGCACTAGTTTAATATGTAATTGTTATCTTTATTTACTTCATTTAATTGGTTAGGGCACCAAATAATTTTGCATATTTACTTTTAAGAGAATCTAGATAATGTGAACATCAATTAAAGGATTTCTCTTTTTCAGAACTGGCTTGTCATAATTGTTAAATTTAATAGAGAATTGTATCTGGCCAATAAGAATTTTCAAAGTGTGACTGAGTTTCTACAGGCCATTTAATGAGTAATTAAATTCATGTACATTAGTTACATCCACCTGAACCACTAGAGTGGGGAAGCAAGAAACGTTGTGAGTCCCTTCTCCTAAGGAGGTACATTTGGCAGGACCCAGAAGAAAGTGACTCCCTCCCTTTGGAACATCATCCCTGCAGGATTAGACTGACCCCGACTTTGACACTCTTTCATATGGTCCTGGAGATATGTTCCAAAGATGCTTTTTCAAGAGGCAACTGCTGAACAATGAACGGACACAGGGCAGAAAACATCCTGCAGAAAGCACAACTCCACAACACAGTCCTTTTAGCAGTTCCAAGACGGCTCCACACCCATTTGCATTCCTCAGGTGACCCTGAGGACACAGATAAACCTCCAAGTGCCCTCAATGACTCTCTAAAAGAATGCAAATGACCAGCTGTCTGTAAGGAGTATAAATCTTTCCATTCCACACCATCCAGTCAGAGCTGAAGAAGCTTCTTGGATGAGAAGTGAAACGTCTTCAAAGAAAACAAGAACGTCCAGTTGCGTCTTGAAAAAAAAAGCACCTTTGGGACAACCATGACCTGGATGACTGAGAATCTTCATAGACATTCCTGAAGACTTGGTTCTGCCAGTGGGCCTGAGGAACCCAAAATGGCATGGAGCCCATCTAGTAGCTTGTTTGATTGTGTATTGTTGCTGTGTGTTTGTGTTTGTGTGCGTGTGTGTGTTACTGTTTCTTATTCTTTTATGTTTGGTTTTTTATTGTTTGTAAGCTGCCCAGAGTCACTGTGAGTGAATCTTCTAAATAAATAAAATTCAATAAATAAATGTATATCTAAATTAGCTTCCTCTTTGCAGATGACTCTTTCATCGTTTTCTGTTTTATGTGGCAACAATATTATCGATGCTTTAAGTACAACCTGGGCATGGAGTGATGGCAGAATTTAATCATTTCAAAATAAAACATTTATTATACAATTATACACTACACTTTTATTATATTTCAATAATTTGCAATCATGGGCAATTAAAACTCTGCACCACAGTGTGCAAATCGAAATAATTATGATTTAAGATCTTATTCATCACTAATTCTTTAGTCATGCGTTAATTGAAAACAATAAGAAGTGTAAAGGAAGATACAAATTGCCAGCAGTGTCCACAGGGGAGGCAAGGGACGGCAGAAAGCAGAGTCAAGCCATCCACACGCAGGCTTGGCCCTTTTCTTATATGCATCATAACACTGCTTGTCTATGTGAAAGGGTGAAGGTTACATTGTGACCTTGTGATGCTGCTTTTATTAGTTTTATGGAAGCAGCAAAATCCTGCAGTTGTCTAAAAACTGTATTTGCAAAAGGCTTTGCTGAATGAGATGTACTTCTGAGCATTCATCATGGATTCTAATCAATAAGATAAATAATATTATGCTGTATTAAATGTCACACTGAATCATTACTAGTATAAACAAGAGCTTCAGTATTTATTTTTCAGTTGATTAATGATCTTTTAATTAAGGAAATGTCCATAATAAACTGGGTAGCAGGATTTTAAACAGGCTAATTTTTTCAGCCATAAGTCCCTTGAATCTCTGTGTGACAGGTCCTTTCCTTCTTTCTTTCTTTCTTTCTTTCTTTCTTTCTTTCTTTCTTTCTTTCTTTCTTTCTTTCTTTCTTTCTTTCTTTCGTTCTCCCTCCCTCCCTCCCTCCCTCCCTCCCTTCCTCCCCTCTCCTTCCCTCCCCCTTTCTCTTCCCTTCTCAGGATAGACTTCTATCAAGGTGCCTGGAAAATTAATCCTGTATTTTTCCCCAGGATTATTATACTTACATTCAAATTTAAAATCTATGCAATTAGTTTTAACAACCTCAGGACACAGTATGCACATTTTCATACAAACATTTCATTCTTGTCTAGATACCATGATGTTAGATGTCTTTGCAAACTGTTGCTCTTTTCTCATGTCATCTCTCTCTCTTCTCACCTTCTAGGGATTGTATCGCTCTGTGTTTTTTGAACAGTGGCACAAGTTTTGTGGCTGGCTTTGCCATTTTTTCCATTCTGGGTTTCATGGCAGAAGAACAAGGAGTGCTTATTTCAGAGGTAGCTGAGTCGGGTGAGTAGCTCATGCACCACGGGGCTTACCTTGAACACAATGAAAAGTGGTTGGTTAGGAATGTAATGATCATAATGTCTTGTGCTGGTTATATGGCTTCAACATATTAGCAATTTTTTCTCCACAGGACCTGGTCTGGCTTTCATTGCCTATCCACGAGCTGTTGTCATGCTGCCTTTCTCCCCATTATGGGCTTGCTTCTTCTTTGTTATGGTGGTTCTCCTGGGACTGGACAGTCAGGTAAAGATGCTACAAATGGGCAGACTCAGTCCTGTACTTAACCTATTCTTCTTATTCTGTTGTCCCTATGTAGTTAAGTTTATTATTCCCATCAACGTGAAAGTCACATGTTGACTGGCTTGTGGGTAACAGATGTTGTGGTTACATGTAAGAAGAAGGTTGAGAAGGTTGTCCCACTTGCCTGAGACACAGACCATTTTCTGTCTCTGCCTCCTAGATCAGGGGTCCCCAACCCCAGTCTGTGGACTGGTACTGGGCCATGGCATGCCAGCAACCAGTCCGCACAAACAGGCAAAGCCCCATCCGTGGGAGTACACAAACCCACACGCTCTCTGGTCCACAGAAAAACTTTTCTCCACGGAACCGGTCCCTGGTGTCCAAAAGGTTGGGGACCTTTGTCCTAGATAATAGATAACTACTTTGCACTCCTTGTTAAAGATGCTTAGCTTACATAATGTAGGTGCTTAGAAAAGGGATCTACTTTTTCTAAATGATAAATGCTGCTTTTCTAAATGCTAATTTGTACACATGCCCCCAGTAATATTGAACTGATTAACTGCAAAAGTGATTTGAGATTTTTTTTATAGAGATGGGTAGAACAAAGGTAATTAATCTGAATCAATCTGAATTCAGGAAGACGTTAATTGGCCTGTCTAGAAGGTCCATTATGGAAATAGAGAGAAGGTCTTCAAGATGGCTCCAGAGTTGTTAAGCAACTGTCCTCAGTGAATGTTTCAGAAATAAGCAGTTGGTAGCTATTTTTTTTAAAATTAAACTGATTTAAAAGTTTGACCCCTTTTAAATTGACAAAACTGAGTAAAAAAGTAAAGGAGATTATTTCAATATGGAGCCATGAACTAATAACAGGACTGTACTGGCAGCTTAGTGCATATAGAGTATGCTTGATACTTCATAATTGCCTGTGATCAGACAGGACTTCTGGCTTTTTGAAATGTTACAGAAGTTGGCAGAAGCTTGAAATGATTACTGTTTGTCTCCAGCCAATATCTTTCAGAACTGTGTGTGGTTATGACAGGATTCAGATTGGTATCTTGTAATCTTTCAATGAATGGAAGGATATGCAAGAATGAAAATCTGAGAAGATCTGTGATGGAAAGAACTGAAGGCTGCTTCAATTCTCATTTCCCTAGTTTGTCTGTATGGAAAGCCTGGTCACCGCTGTAGTTGACATGTATCCTGAAATCTTCCGGAAAAAGAACCGCAGAGAAACTTTAATTCTTCTTGTCTCCATCCTCTCATACTTTGTGGGTCTCGTCATGATCACAGAGGTAAATACATTCGAAAAATAATATATAATTGCTAATTCTATTGCCCTTGAGTTGAGCTTGGTTCCTGATTATTGTGTGGGTTTTTTTTTTACCTATTTTAAATGTATGATTAAGAAAAAAGTTCTTTAATGAAGAAGTCAGAGAGAATTTGTTACCATTTTTATCATTTCTGAAAATAGTATATCAGAGTTGTGATCTGAAGGCACATTCTTTTTAATAAGTATACAGACATTTCTAAAATTCTGTTTTCATTTTGTCATTGTGGGGCACTGAGTGTAGATTAATAAGAAAAAATGAATTTCAACAACTGTAGAATCAGGCTGCAGCATAACAAAATTGACAAACGTGAAGGGGGTCTGAATACTTTCTGAATGCATTGTTTGCTTGAGGCAATATTACATAAGATGTGCCATAATGAACTAATTTTCTGCTTACTTTTATGGTGGAAAAACTCATATAAGAACACACCAAGAAACGGACAGAATCCAAGAATTGTTTCATTAAAACAAGCATGATGCAGTGGTCTTTTGCTGTTAAGTATGAAGAACACCACCAAGTTGTTATGTAAAGAGATTGAAGAAGAGCGCACATTTGAACTTCAACAAAGATTTATTTCACAACTGTTAAGTAGTACAGATGGGGATACATAAAAATTTGGGGTTCCTTGTGTCCAAAAAGAAAATACTTTGTCATGTGAATGTTACTTAGCCTATGAGAAGTATGAATGTCAGTTGCGCTGACTGTTATTCTAACAGTTTGACTATGCATTGTATTTTGAATGGGGAGAATTATAAACATGCCCGTTATGAGTATCCTGAGAATATTGTAATTTATGGAGATATATTATTTGTGAATCAAAGGCCTTTCATTGATGTAACAAAGGTTACAACTCTAGGAGGATATATGTCATGACTCATGAGGAAATAGCTGTGGCATGTATACAGAGACAATGAGTTAGCAATTAAAGCTAACTGTGGCTTGATACATTGACTTTTCCATTAAAAGCTAATTGTGACTTAATTGTTTACAATGAAAGACTAAAAGAAGATGATAAAAAGTGCTTCATACAGGACAATCATTATTTCATAGTATCAACAATGAGCAAAGGGATCCACACTGTAGCCAATGAGATCTATTGATAAAATTTGATTCCAAGAAAATTATATATAGTATCCCCGTCTGTACTACTTAACAGTTGTAAAATAACTGTGTGCTCTTCTTCAATTTCTTTATTCTACATAAGAACTTGGTTGTGTTCTTCATCCTTAACAGAAAGAATCCAAGCAAAAAGTTACATTAATAGGTACTTTAATTATTCTTTGCCAACAACAGAAGGGCCAAAGGGCTTTAGCTGTTCTGTTCTTGGCCAATAACTGGCAATTACAGGCAGAAAACAAGCTGGCTAGACTGGCTGGCTTTTTTTGCTAGCAAACACTGAACAAGGTGTGCTTTCACAGTACCTGAGCATGTGCAGTGAAGTCATTACACAAATCCCACTCTACAGCAATATAGGCACAGGATGTAGGCAAATAAAGAAGAGGAATATACAGTGATATCACTGAGGAATGGGGATTGTCATCAGTTGGCTTGCTTTGCTGTGGGTTGAATGTGATACGGTACAGTATATGATCAAAATTAAGCATAGATGAGAATAAATGGTATCTTTACTGAATGGCACAGCATCAAGCAGGGAATGAGACCATCTCTTGAACGCTTAATGCATTTATGAATAAATGCAAAAGGAATGCTGGCGGTGATAGAAGAAGTGAATGGATTAGAGACATGAATGTAGCTGTTCATTCGTATGCAGATGATCCAGTGCTATTGGCTGAGCACCCTAATGTTTTGTAGTGAATGTTAGACTGTTGATACAATGAGAAGAGTGGATCTGAAAATTAATGTATCAAAGTCCAAGGTCATTACGTTTGACAGAAAAAATGGAGTGAATGATCACAAATTATACATAAATGGTGAAAACTTGGAACAAGGAGAGGGGTTTGTGTTCCTTGCATGGAATGTTTACTAAATGGATTGAAAGAAGAATGTGCAAACATTAGCAGAAAATGAGTAGGTCATATGCGTTGTGAGGAATGAATGAATGTTTGTTACAAAAAAAGAAGAAGCAAAAATGGCTGTTTATATTTTTACCAACTGTTGTATGCAAGAGAGAGACGGGTATGTGGCAAGAAAAAAATATATATGTGAAATGCTGTGACAATGGATTATAGGACGCGAATTTCTATGGAGAAACAAGAAGAGATAGTTACAAAAAAATCAACGGGCGCTGAATGGATGTGAACTGAGTGCAAAAGTGAGAGACCAGTGTGAAAGAAGCATGTCGAAAAGAAGGAATATGGATCAATTTAAAAAAATACAAAGATATGAAAAAAGACTTTACAGATCAAGAGGATGGGATGACCAAGTTAGCTGGTGGTTGCAAAAGACACTAGGAAAGGACTTATTGGAATGGTGGGAACAAGGATAATTCGCAAGGGTAAAAGCTATGCAGTGGTATGGCAAATGTTGGTATCGGGCAAATTGTAATTACATTTAATTTCCTATACTTATGTCATGCCTTAATTTATGAGATAGTATAATAGATAAACAGACAGATAGAACTATTTCTTACTCCTTTCTATACCTTGTGTAATATTGGTTATCCTGAAAAAGTATAGTCTGATGGGTATGTATGTATGTATGTATGTATGTATGTATGTCATAGTCTGGAAATGAAGAGGTTTCATTCTTTGTCAGTTTGTCCATTGATTCCCCTACCTGCCTATTGCAGAGACTTTTGCAAGTACACTACAACGAAGCATTCTGTTAATGTAAGGCAGTGTTTCTCAACCTTGGTGACTTTAAGACATGTGGTTTTCAACCCCAGAATTCAGGATGGATGGGAAATTCTGGGGAACTTAAGTCCACATGTTCGAAAGTTGCTAAATTTGAGAAACTCTGATGTAAAGCAATAACTAGACTGGTTAGATCAATCCCTGAAGCTAAAGCATATCGGATACTCCCTTGATTTGTCAACTGCAACTCGCTTTCAAATAGACACAGCCTATGTTTATGCTTGGTATTTTTGGAGCTGACAAAGGTTGCTTATGATTCCCATCCTGTTTTCATTTTAGATCTTTTTGTTTGTTTGTTTGTTTGTTATCAACCTAACCAAAGCCAAAGGCATCCAGCTTACTTTTAAGTTACCACTATGCCCCTGATCCATCACCATTTGGAGCATGGCCACTACAACCAGGAATGACCATGAAATGACACATTTCCTCCTGAAATGTGAAGTCAGCCCAGGAACCCCTAAATTTAAAAAAAAAAAAAAATTAATGGGAAGAACACTTTTTTCAGTTGGAATTATTCATGAATAAATAATATTTGGGGAACAGGTATTACTTTTTCTTTACTTTAATTTTTATTATTGTTCTTGGGCACGTAAAAAAGAAACTGTCATGAGATGGGAAAAAAAGAGAAACATCTGTCATCTCAATGTTCTCAGAAGTATTTTCAAATACAGTAGAGAGGGGAGAAACATCTTACTAAAAACCAGGAGCAACAGACAGGGACAAAGAAATCGTAGTCTAGGAATTTATATAAAGTACCAAGATTGAATATAATTCATAACAAAAAAACAAAAACAATACCCCACTGCAGAAGTTATAACTTTTTCTTATTTCAATAATAAAATCTATATTGGGCAGAGTAATTTTACTCCTGTTATTGTTAAGACGTTAGGTATGCAAATTTGTTATTGATGTGCTGAAAATTGCTCACTTGTCCTTCCTACCTATAAGCTAGTACAGGGGTGTCAAACTTGCCGCATCATGTGACGTGTCGTGATGTATCGCGACTTTTTTCCCCATGCCGGAGCTGGGGTGAGCGCAGTTTCCGCGTGATGCATACAGCCCATGGGCCGGCAGTTTGACACCCCTAAGCTAGTAAGAAGGCCAGATCCTGAAGTTGAAACTCAAGTACTTTGGCCACCTAATGAGAAGGAAGGACTCACTGGAGAAGAGCCTAATGCTGGGAAAGATTGAGGGCAATAGAGGAAGGGGACGACAGAGAATGAGGTGGCTGGATGGAGTCACTGAAGCAGTAGGCGTGAGCTTAAATGGACGCCAGAAGATGGTAGAGGACAGGAAGGCCTGGAGGAATGTTGTCCATGGGGTCGCGACTTCGCAACTAACAACAACAACAAAGCTAGTAACACAGTCATGTACTGGTTGGAGAATTCTGGGAGTTGAAGTCCACCTATCTTAAGGTTACTAATGTTGAGAAACATTATTCATGGATATTAATTGGAGAAAGTTATAAAAACATGTAAGTCCATCCCATTTGCTTTATAAAACCATTACAAGTCCTGTATATAGGTAGTCCTCAACATACAATCATAATGGAGCCTGCGGCCTGCCTATTATGGTTATATGCTGTAAAGATAATAAAACAGGTCAGTCATAACCAACTCAATTTTTATGACCTTTTTGCAGTGGTCATTAAGTGAATCCATGGTCATTAAGAGAACGCCATGATTGTTAAGTGAACTCATGGTTTGCTATGGGTGCGGGTTTTGCCAAAGTGTCATTTTTCAGCAAAACTGATATAAACTGTGGTCATGTGACCATGGGACACTGCAAATGACTGCACATGTCCCCGTGTTGCTGAGTGCACGAGGTTTGGTCATGTGACCACAGAGGGGGCTTGACTGTTGGAACTTTGAATTTGGGTCATAACTCCCCTTTTTAGGATTGGTCATAAGTTTGAATGGTTGCTAAGCAACCAGCAGTAAATCAAGGATTACCTGTATGAAGATAACTGTAAGGGTTTTTTTTTCCCCCCTCCATCCTTCCTTTCCCATTTCCCTTCAAAGTAAAATAGCGAAACTGCACAGAGTTTGCTCTAATTTAGAAAGCAAGAAGCCTCTAGACTCTTCTGCTTTCAGATTGCACCCTGCTGACTTTTGAAACTGTAATTGTTGTGCGCAGACTTTGTCTAAA